TGCTGCTTTGAATAGGTCGCTGGGGCATTCCATAAGGAGACATTTGCTGCTGGTACATCTGCTGCGGGTAATATCCGGTAGCATCATAGGACATGTACTAGATCCACAAACAAACAAAAAAGACAAAAAGAGGTGTATTAGTTCATAGTAATGAATCTGAATATAAATCACATTTAGTGAAGTAAGTCTCATGTGCAAAAAAAAAGTAGAATAGTCAGCTTACATATCCCTGCTGACCCCACTGCTGCTGTTGAGGGTGCTGAGGATGCATGCCGTGATGCTGAGGCTGAGGGTTCATAGGACCCATTCCGTGGCTCTTGATAGGTGGACGCTGAGATGCGAAGGGACCAGGACCAGCCTGAGGAACACCCATAGGAGGGATCATGGGAGCCTGAGAGATGGTAGGGGGGACCTGAGGACGGTAATGGGGTTGCTCATTGGTGTGTGCAGAGTTGGTCGAATCCGTGCGTCTGTGTGTGTGGTGGCTGTGGGCCATATGTGGCTGAGCGACATGTGGAGGAACAGGCTTGTACGGACTGTGGTGCTCTGGTGTGTGTGGTGTGGCATGGACGGGTTCCTGAGGGGCGGCAGCAACAGGAGTCGGTGCAGCTGGAGTCTGTTGTAGCAATGGGACAAAAAAAGACACCCTTTCGGTCAGTTGTCCATCTATCGGTTGCGTATCTCTTCTTTCTGATATCAGCAGTACTAAGCCCATCATTGCCGGCCATCTGCAGAACATCAGTGTATCGATCATAAACATATCCGCGCACCTCTTCTGACTTGCTGGGGATCATCTGCGATGTAGCAATGCTTCCAAATGTCATGGCGGTGCCGCTAGACGGTGCAGCTGGGGCAACTTCGCTAGAAGTAGAAGGTGATGATCCCGAATCCGGCTCATTGATTGATCCAAAGCGAATTGACGAAGCTATAAATGGTATGATATGAAAAAAGGACGAGGGCAGAACCAGGTTAGCACTGACAATCCTGCTCCTGGTTGCTATCGTCATCGAGAGTCGCTCCATTAAGATCCTTTACAACTTCGAAGAGACATACCTGGACCGGCTGAGGTAGGGGCAGAGACAGGAGTAGTTGAGGCAGGACCGGTCGAGACACCGGCAGCGGGCTTTCCTGCGGGCTGGCCCTTCACAGCTGCCGCAGCAGTGGGTGCCTGTGATCTCCTATTAGCACTATTGATGTCATAAGCGAATATCGCCAAAAGAGGATCACGGTTAGTTACTGGCCCGGAGCAACACCACATAACATTACACAAACAACCTTATCTCTACCCCCCCCCTCTTCCTCCCTCTCTTGCTCTATGATGTGTGTATGGAAACTCTTTTTGACGAGGAAGAAATACGACGCTTTCCATTGTGTAGCAAAAGTGCAAACACCCACCAAGGTAAAAAAAGAGGGAAAGACAACAAAAGGGCACAGATAAAATAATGACATGCACAGGAAAAGTTGAGGGACAGCCACGCCAAGCGTATGCGAACGGGCCACGGCTAGACTGGTTAGAATCTGCCATGGGTATGATCTTGTCCAAAAACAGAAACCGATCCATACATCCGCAGTAAGACGCAAAATATAAAAAAAGAAAACAAAGAGCGGATAGCCAGAGTGGTCATCACAGTAAGATCATATAGATTGTGGACAAAGATCGAAAACCAAGCGAATGCGGATTTCTGTGCAGTACGAGTGTGTATTTGTGTGTGTGGTATTGGCGGAGGGTTGCGCAAGCCTTTTTTTAAAAAAAAAAAAAAAAAAAAAAGGTCCATGGACACCCATGCCCATTCTTGTCCTACTCGAGTGAATCGCACCTGCAGCTGTAACGATTTGGCTATTGTGTTTTGTGCTTTGAGGGAGAAAAGTGAACAGGAAACTTTTTTCCATTAAGGTATTGAGTTTGCGATCCGCGCATGAACCATTCTGCCAGCCGTACAAGTGTAACGGTCCTGGTGTTGTGAGCCGATTTCCTTTGTTTTTGTTGTGTTGGGAGTGACTGAGTGGGGACTTCCAATTGAATTTTTATTCCTGGGGATCGGCGCTGGTATCGCAGCACACAGGTGGAGATCGAATGAGACGGGAGCAAAAGAGGCGGGGCTGGGGAGGCCCTCGGCTGGGAGGACTGAAATGAAATGCGTGGTCTGGAGCGCGGCAGTTCTCGAAAAGGAAGAAATGGGCAGCATGGGCGAACACTGCGCTGGAGACCGCTCTGTCCCTGTGTCAGGCCGCTTCTACCAATCAGAAGGACAAAGGCAACAGCCAACCGCCGAATCAGCGGAAGAGGGCAGGGCTGGAATGTTCGCCTGTGGTTCTTGGGCATTGGCACAGACACAGACACAGACACAGACACAAGGGCACACAGACATTTCTTGCTCCAAATAAACCGGCAGGCTGTGGTCCTCCGTACATGCGAACCAGAGTCTGTGTTCATGGCGCGGCACTCCTTCGTGCTTCTACCAGTCCCCAGCTGCCCATGGCTTCTCTCCCTCCCTCTCCCCCACAGCTGTACTCTGTGTATCTAGTCTATCACGCTGAATAGCAATAAAAGGTTTGGCCAGTCCGGAACTTTTTTTTTTTTTCTATCCACATGGATAAATCCATTCCCGGACCCTTCTCGCCTTGAGCGTCATGGTCACTGCCGCCATGGCTCACATAAACAAAGAAATATTAGACCAGAGCAAAATGTCCATCAGCTGGTAGACTACAGTACAGTACATAGACTGGAGGTCTGCTTCGACCTTGCAGCGGCAGGCATCGGTCTTCAGTTTTAGCACATGCATGCAGGAAAGTGTCATTTTCCTTTTCCTTCGAGTGCCCTGTCCCTTTCAAAAACCTTAACTGCGCACAAACTGAATGGATCTTCATCTACTGTACCCAAAAGGTCCAAACAAATCCAACTGTCTGCCAGCATGGATTACATTATAACCTTGCCTGAAAAACGATGTTGTGCGCGCGACCGTCGCGTCTTTTTTTTTCACGTTTGCTGCTAGGTAACGTTTGAAAACGTCAATTGAAAATAGCTTATAAGCTGGAATATCTTTGTTGCCACGTTACTTTCTTTCCTCCCGTTCTTCGGGAACTGCGCGATCTTTTCTGCACGATAACACGCCGCTTCCAACGGCGGCCGAAATAGAACAACACACCATTATCAGTCCCTCGCTATTTTTTTCCATTACAAGTATGGAAGATATAAACATGGACCCGATTATTGTGCCAAGATTAATTAGCTGTTTGGTCCTTGGCATATGTATGAAGGCCATTGTATCTTTGTCTACAGCCCGTCCCTCCTTCAACCTGCTTTTTATTTTTTTGCATGAACATAGATGGTGAGAATAGCAACCGACAAAAAAAAAAAAAAAAACGAAAACGAACAACCACAAACAATGCTGCCATGCACGACTGCTTTACCAGCATTTCTTTACGTTCCCCCCTACAGTGGACAATATTTGTTAGCCCGTGGAATGTTAAAAGCAACAGCCGTCAGAAAATCGAACTATCCCAGTAAGAAAAGAATGGTACAACCAAAAGGCTCGAGTTTATAATTGCACTCAATGCCGCGCTTGTATTCTAAATGGTTAACGAGAGGCATCGCGCAAAGCGCAGCATGAGTTTTCTTTGCTTATTAAACATGGCGGCAAGCGTATTTTGGAAAAGCACAACGATGGTAGAGAGAGAGAAGACCCCCTCTGGAGCCGCCGGTACATTTGTAATGCTCAATTATTGTTTTTTTGGTTCAGTATTCTTTAGACGATCCCCTACTCTCGTGTGTCAAACATGAGATATAGGAGAGCGATTGAGTCAAACCCTTATTCAATGCTCTTTTCGATTCGATTGTCCACAGACCAAGCAGAAATGATAGTGGTGTGCAGGCAGATAGCGCTGAAACCGACTCATCTAGACACACGGGCTGCGGAGCGAGCGAGCTGGCAGATATGTAGGCATAAGTAGACGCTCCACCGAATGTTGGGCGACAGCCCAATCTGAGCAGGAGTAGAACAAGCAAGCCAAGAAAGAAAAAACACTGCGTTCACGAAAGAATGAATCTGCAGAGGAAACAGGGAAGAAGAGATGGAGAAGACAAGGGGATGAAGATGTAACGATGCAGGTGCGTGAGTAACGAGAGCAAAAGGCACCCTTCGAGTTACTGAACACGTAGCTGGATGAAGACCAATTGTCGCTGGATAATGACAGCAATGTCTGTTCCTGGTTGTGGCCCTGGTCGTTCAAGGCACTTCAACGGCGCTCTGCCCTATCCCGTTCCTTCTCTCGCCCTCCCTGTCAAGTATGGCCTCCTCTGGATTCTTTTTTCCTCCCTGAATCCCTCCAAGACAAGGTATCCTGTGGGGCGCGAAAAAAAAAAATGTCCAGCAGATGAATGAGGTGGTTATCTCTCTTTCTTTTTTTTTTCTCCGCTCAAAAAAAAAAAGTGATAGGGCGGAATGAGTTAAAATGAGTGGAGTTGGTTGGAGCTGGAGTGCAATAAAATGGCAACTGCAACGGATGAATAATATTTGCGCAGAGGACACAACCGAATTCAAACCGGTTCAGCTTCCCCCCGCTTCCGTCTTTCATATAAAGTCCCGCAAAGCCCTCTCCTGTCAGCCTCTTCTTTCTCATTCCTTTCTCTCTTTCTTCCTTCACATTCACAATCACATTCATTCATTCGTCCCTACGCACATTCGCTCATTCATTCTCCCTTTATTCAACTCGGTCGACTCAACAACACCACCACCTTCCTCTTCGCTGCCTCGCTCGTCGGCTCACACTGCTCGTCACTCTGTCAAGCTCACTTCCCCTTTGAACACCTCACGTATTATAAAGAGAGTTCCCTCTGGAAAGCAAAAAGCACCGACCATCCCTTTCACGGCACTTCTCCTTTGCCCTACGCCTCTTGACACGAGGCATTTGCAGTTGGAGAAAGGGATACCAAAACCGCGCACTTTCCTACTTGCACGCGTAGACACACACCCTTCTTTATCCCACCCTTCCGTCCCTCTTATTCACCAATGGCACCCACGGTCCAGGCCCCTCTATTGTCGTTCATATCAGACCAGTCGCTGGCTCTGTTGCTGCCCGTGATCGTCTACTGGGTTTACTCCCTGCTCTTCCACTGGATCTCACTTCAAGAGTTCGCCTGGTTCGAAAAGTATCGCATCCACGACAAAGAGGAAGAGACCCGAAACAGAGTCTCACTACCCGATGTCATCAAAGCCGTCATCGTCCAGCAGGTCTTGCAGGTAAGCAAAGCAAATACATCCACTAAAAAAAAAAGCCAGAAAAAGAGGGTTTGGAGACGGGACCAAGGTCTTTCTAGGATCGTTTATGTGTGTCTATTCCGGTATGGGTCCGTGTGAGGAATGGAAGGGTGTGTGGTATCGTGTGTGTTATGGTGTGTGTTACAAGAATGACAGGGCCAAGGGGGGAGTAGACCCAGGCATATCTATTCAATCCATCGATTCTTTTCTACTGAAAACTCCCCCCTCCACATAGTGTGATGCTTTGTTTGAATTATTTCCACAATGGGTTTTATGAAATGGCAGTAGTGGATCGAATAAGGGCCACTGAATAATATCGACTGTCGATAATAATGTCGCGCGGTGCGCAAGGACTTGCTCAGGGTATGCATTCAGGACATCCATACACAAAAGTATAAAAAGGGTGCAGGGTAGCAGGGATGATGACAACATTGTTTGGACAGATAAAATCGACAGGAAATGGCCAGCGGTCAAGAAAGGTTAACAATATACAGCCGCAGACACAAGCACTGGGGCACAGGGACAGGAGACTGGGACCATGACTGGAAATTCATTCGGCTCAGGAACAACAATAGGGGGGGAAAATAAGGAAGCCGATTAAGAGTATATCCATCTGCTCTATATACCGCCGCTCTTTTTTCCTCTTTCTTACCTCATACTGTGCATACCCACTGCGCCGTATCTCCTTTCATGCTGCCGATGGTACCAGTCCAAGTTGGCGGTGTCTGCAGTTGAAAAAAAAAAAAAAAAAAAATACGAGAGCCGCTTCATTCCATTCCGTCCGTTCCCTATTCGATCATTTTCTCAGAGCCTTGTTCCAGCTAGGGGGAGGAGTTACTTATGATAATCTGCGGTACTGCATGAAAATGATTATGAGCTGGAACAGTCAGATGAGGAGGGTTCTCCAGTCCATTCATCACAATGTGCGCGCGTAGATGTGGATGTGAGAGTCATTAGCGCTATGTGTTGGAGAATAATGAAAAGGAGATATGGCGGGAAAAGATATCGTGACAATCTCACCTAGAGAAGATCCTTATTCTAACCCATGGCTCTTTCTCTTTGTCTATGTGCGAATGTATCTCCTTCTTAGACCGCTCTTGGCTTCATTGTTGTCGTTGCAGACGATTCAGAAATGATCTTTGATGACGAGCTCAGCCTGGCAAAATACCAGATGTGGATCAGCTACGCCCTTTCACTCGCAGGACTCCAGCCGTATGTCTCCCAGGCAGCGGTTGCAAACATGGCATATGTGGGCTACTACTATCTTGAGTCGATGGTCCGCTTCTTTGTCGCCATGTCGTTCTTGGACACGTGGCAATACTTCCTCCACCGTCTCTTCCACAACGTGCCATATCTCTACAAGCATTTCCACTCGCGTCACCATCGCCTCTACGTGACCTACTCATTTGGCGCGCTCTACAACCATCCCTTTGAAGGTTTCCTGATGGACAGTGTCGGTGCCAGCTTGGCCTTCCTGTTCAGCGGTATGGGCAACCGCGGTGCTCTTGCTTTCTTCTCCTTCTCGACCCTGAAGACTGTGGACGATCACTGCGGATACAACCTGCCCTTCAACCCTCTGCAGCGCCTCTTCTGGAACAATGCTGACTAGTAAGTGGGACGCTCTATCTTGCTGCTGATACGACCTTGCGCAACCATAGTACTCGGATGAATTTGTCGCTAACCCAGCTTTTTTTATTTTTATTTTTTTTTATTGCCTTCTCATAACAGCCATGATATTCACCATCAGAACTTTGGTATCAAGAGCAACTTCTCGCAGCCCTTTGGCACTATCTGGGACCACCTCTTGGGCACTCACATGTCGCGCGAGGAGGCCAACAAGATCATCAAGATGAAGGAGGAGCGCAAGGCTGCCCGTCTGGCTGGTCTCAGCAACGTTGTTATGGCATCTTCGACCCCTGTGGCCATTGGATCTTCGCCCAATGCCAAGTCAACTTCAAATACGTACAGCAACAAGGACGAGGACGTGCATAGCAGCGGCAACAACAGCGGCAACGACAGCCATGAAGAGACCGAAGAGGAGGAGAAGAAATCCCAGGGACCATTTGGCTCGAGCGCAGTCGAACTACCTGGTTACCGTGAACTCCTAAAAACGCGCGCTCGTGTCGACAATGGCTTTGTCTCTGGAAAGGGACAGGGCAAGGCACTTTAATACCTTTGTCTGCTTTTTACTCTTGTGTAAAATCCATCGTATTTTGTATTTTGTAATTCCTTTTCTTTTTTCTTTTTTTTTTTTACTTATATGTCTGTATAAAAACTCACCCCTTTCTTTCTTTCTATATCCCTTTTTTCTTATTCCACCCTTTCGTTCTCCTACTCGACTGGCAAATATCCCCCTTGCACGCGGGCTGTATATTCCTCCAGCATTCTTTCCTATTTCCATATTCCATAATTTCATTACATCCTTCTACATATTTATATAATTTTTTTATTATTTTTCTTTTAATGCTAATTTTTTTTTTTTTCAGTAATAAAAAAGAAATGCATACAATCATGCAAAATGCACACATCAATCCTTGTCATGCTATATGCAGTCTTCTTTCTTTCATCCAATGAAGGAAGAGGCACCCTTTCGTTCACTGTTACGTGCGTTAATGCTCAAGTTTTCCTTTCGTCCTTGGCTGACAATGAAAGAGGCGGATCACTGGAACATAACCCATCCACCAGTCGACATAGGGCCGAACTCCCGCCTGGACATCATAATGATAATAAACTACGAGCATCGTGGCATGGTAGAGTGCGCAGGCGGAAAAGACATGCCACCACGCATGCAGCTGTGGGTTCCATTTCAGAACCGATCTGGCGCCCACGCCGTTGACGAATTCGCAGAGCCGTAGATCAATGAGCCAGATAGTGACCGCAAACAGGCCTGTGCCAAAGGCTCGACGGATCAAGGTGGAGATGTCCGGGTTGGGGCCTCGCAGGGCACGTTGTTGGACATGAAAGATTCGCAGGAAGTAGATCATGGCGAATTGGAGGATGGTGTAGGTCGACTGGAAGGTGTAGAACTGGAGTTGACCGCCCGTGGTGGAGAAGATGTATGTCGTCGTTGCTGTGAAAGAGCGGACCGCGTATGAAGAAGGGAAGGGTTGTTTTCAGGATGATTGTTTGGGAACTACTTGTGCAAAAAAAAAAAAAAAAAAAAAAAATCGTAAAACGTAGCAATGGTGCGTATCCTTACCGATCCATGCTGTGAGAAGTAGAGGGAACCATCGACCCTGTGGACCGTGCTTAGCCTCGACCAAGATGAACATGATCATCGTGGCAGAATAGAGCATAGGCAGTTCATCTAGTAGGCATAGATGGGGGGGGGGGGGGAATTGCCCGCGTGAAAGGCATGATGTAAGTAACCATCAAGAGGAACAGTACTGTCGAAACCATAACCAGGCGCATCGAGAAGCACGCAGGATGGGGAGGGGGGAAGGGGGGGAGATCCTACCAAGAAGCTGCATCTTGTGTCGCAGGGTACCGTGGAAAAGTACGGATCCAAGGCCGACGAATGCAAATGTCGTGAACATCAATTTGAATCGAAGTTCATTACCGGGGAAGTGATACCAACCGAGGACGGCTGCAATGAAGCAGGCGATATTGGACGTGGTATTCCAAAATCTATACGGAGAATGTTTTACAAGTTGAGCAAAACGTGTGCTCTTGAGAACCATGACAGGGAATGAAAAGAAACACGGACGACGCGTGGGACGCACTCACTCTGCAATGTAGTAAGAAACAACGTAGTTGTTTTCACACCAGTCGACTGAGGCCGTGTTCGGAGACCAATATCCGACCTTGTCAAACGCGGATGAAACCCCGGCGGCTACTACGGGTGCCATGTCAAGGTCGCTGTGTCGATGCTCGACCGGGAGACGAAGTGGAGTAAATGAAGAGTGGAGCAGAGTGCTAACGAAGTAAGTGAATTGAGAAGGGCAGAGCGATCTTGAGGCGGGGATGGGACCAAGACAAGACGAGCGGGGTCTGAGGTCGCTTTATATATGTGACCACTCGGTCTTCTCACACAAGAAAAAAAAAAAAAAAAAAAAAAAAACGACGTTGGCGATGTCTTGAATCCGTTTCGTAATGCCGCGCAGACCTGCGATAGTTCGGTGGTTAAAGTTGGAGATGAAGTTGGAGATGAAGTTGGAGATGAAGAGGTCGAACCAGGAACAGCAGGGAATTGATTCATCCGGATATCAGCTGGATTATGGGGACAGAAATGCGGACCAGGTTTCGGTTTGGGATTCCAACTCTCTACATCTCTACAGGTCCACGCGCCACTTTGGTGCCATGCCCTTCTTCTTCCGTTTCTGCGTAGCGGTCTCGAAGAAGAAAAAGAAAAGGTAGCTGACCATTACAGAAAAAAAACAGAAAAGGACAGAAAAAGACAGAAAAGGACAGAAAGCAGACGTCAGTTGCACAACCGTTCAAGAGATGAAGGCATCATGGGCAATTGGAAGAATCACTTTGTCCCTCGGCAAAAATGTTTTCCATCCCAAACCTTGAGGACGCCCCATCGGGAACAGCCCGATTCCTTTGCTTTGCCCAAATGTTACGACATACAAAATCCGCGTCTCCCTCCCGTGGGGAGGTGTCTTGTACTACAGTCCGTCAAGCAGCAAGGGGTGGGGATATAGATATGAGGGATGACAAGAGCATATTTCGCTCTTCGGACCTGAAGATGTGTAGATCCGCCGCGTAAAAAAAAAAAAAAAAAAAAAAAAAACGCGAGTCCATGCTTTTCGTTCCTTGACCACCAAGTAGTGAATGCTGCGCAGAATGACTAATGGGTCAGCCTTTTCTTTACACACAAACCCCACTTATTACTCGCGGCGCATCTTTTATTTTATTTTATTTTATTTTTGTTGTTGTCGATGTTGTTTTCGCTATTGTTATTGTTGTTGCCTGCACATGTAGTCAGTATTCCCGCACAATATCCCCCTATTTTATTACTTCACATTGTTTTATGATTCTCTGAAAGGACATCAAGTTTCAACGCAGGGAGGAATCCCCTCCACTGGTAAACGATCGGCCGTTGCCCGATCACATCATAATGGTAATAACCGACAAGGAGCGCAGCATGGTACATCGCCACGGCTGAAAACACATGCCACCAGGCATGCAGCTGCGGGTTCCATCTCAGAACCGATTTCGGTCCGACTCCATTGATAAATTCACACAGGCGGAGGTCAATCAACCAAATCGAGACCGCAAAGGCGCCGAACAATAACGCGCGACGGATCAGGACCGAGACTGCTGGGTTGGGTCGCTTAGATCGCTGTTGGACGTGCAGGAGCCGGAGGTAGTAGATCATACAGAGCTGAAGGGTCGTGTAGGTCGATTGGAAGGTGTAGAATTGAAGTTTTCCCCCCGTGGTTGAGAAGATGTATGTCGTCAGTGCTAGGGGTATTGTGAGAAGAAAAAAAATAAGACAAAGGTTAGATTTGAATGTTCTCGGAAAAAAAACATAGCCGGTTACTGCGTTCGTTGGCGAGTTTTGCCATTACAAAGCCAAGTCGTGAGAAAGACCGGAAACCATGAGCCTTGGCGTCCATGCTTGGCCTCGACAAGGATATACAGGATTATAGTCGCGGAATAGAGCATCGGTAGTTCATCTATTGCATTTTTCAACCCACTTACTGTCATCAATCTACAGTCGACGCCCAAGAAGTGCCAAAAAAAAAAAAAAAAAAAAAAAAAAAGGTGGTTGCTGTACCAAGAAGTTGCATTTTGTGCCTCAGGGTTCCATGAAACAATGTCGATCCGATGGCGACCACCCCACATGTCCAGAACAGAACCTTGAACCGTCCATCGTTTGTCGGAAAGAGATGGTATCCAAGAATGACGAGAAGGAGGCTTCCAAAGTTGGATATGGTATTCCAGAACCTTACAGTCAACCACCCATTCAAAAAGACGTGTGAATAAAAGTGTCAACAAGAGACCAAGTTATCGATTCCCGATGCAAAAGCTTCATGATTTTTATGTTGCTTACTCGGCAATATAATACGAGACGACATAGTTGTTCTCGCACCAGTCTACTGAGGCTGTATTCGGAGACCAGAATCCGATCCTGTTGAACGCCGAGGATGACGATGCAGCTGTTACGGGTGCCATGGTGTAAATCTGGGTGTTGTACCGCGGTTGTTGTTGGTTGACACTGGTATCCTGCGATAATATCCTAGGTGTCCTGAAAGTCCGGTCTTGAATTTGATGTGGTGTAAGGAAAGAGATGGTGGAAGTACCAAAAAAAAAAAAAAGGAAAAAAGGAAAAAAGGAAAAAGGAAAAAGGAAAAAATGAAGGAGCGTTACATGACGTTGCCACATCAGTATAAGAAACGTGCATCCACATGGTTTATAACCTCAAATGTTAACACTTACTGCGCGGACTACGCGGCCAGCTTTGCACTTATTACTTTAGAGCCACCCAGCCTGCCTATCATATCAACATATCAAACGAGTTCTGGAATACTCGTGTGTGTGTGTTTTTTTTTTTTTTTGGGTGCTCATATCTATCAGGCTATGCTTCGCCCAAGGTTACGCACAGCTATCTTGAATGTAAATCCAAATCGTCTTTCTGCCTGCTTATCAATTAAAAATTGATATTCGAATAGCTCCTATAGCCTTTATTGACAACACTCAAAGTCCTTTAAAGGTCATAAAATGCGCCAAAATACCATAACTCAGGACCTAATGCCATATTGTAGCCTAGACCGTTAAGGATGGACTAGGGCTGGTCAAGATAGGGTGGATACGAAGGCAGGGTAGTAGATAGAGAAATAGAATCGCAGCGGAAAGTACATGCCGCTTTAAATAAGCGAGCGAACTACTAAATGCGTGAAGGGGCCTCAGCATAAAGGAACAATCAACTGGATGAAGCTATAACTAGATCAGGATTCAAACCTACCATATCAAATGAATGCCTCTTAAGGACCCAGTAGGAAACCGAGTCTACTATAAACACTTTGATGGCATGCTATTACGTCCACGACTATGTCGAGAGGTTTCGTCGCGCTCAATAATCGATGCGGCCGGGACCAGGACGAAAGAAAACAACGAGGAATGGATTGCGAAGCGAGAATGAATGAAAGAGAAACGAATAGAAAGAGGTGCAACACTCGGCAGAACAAATGTGTTTTTGATTAACCTGAGGCTATTTTGTACTCGGACAAACCACACAACATCACCTACCCAGGAGGTAGATAGCGAGCCCTCGCTGCCTAATTGGTGTGTCTCGCTTTCTACGGATCTTTAGGACGATGTTGCCTATTTAGAACTCTTCTAGTCACCCCTGGCGAGTTCCCTGCCCAAGCTATACTCCTGCCTACAAGGATGCTTCGGACCCTTAGCCGCCGAAGCGCTCTTTTTATCCCATCTTCGATAGTGGTTTGTCTCGATCGCCTTGATTTCCGCGTCCTCAACGTCTCCGATCACCTTCGAAGGTCCCTCGCAACTCATCATTCACTCCCAACGCTCATTTTACTGGACCTTAGTACTCCCGACCAAGACCTTTCGATGAAAAATGGACCTTGTAAACACTGCCCTGATTTGATTCTAGACCGCGAACAAGATTCGCCACGCTTCGTTCAGTCAGTTTTTCTCATTTTTCTTTATTCTCTTTATCATAAAAAGAAAAATGAGAAGAACTGACTGAACGGTGGGGAGGAAAAGTTCTCTGAAGCGTGGTCTAGAATCAAATTGGGGCAGTGTTTGATTCGGAGAGGTACTCAAGACAGGTGGGGATGTGCTTTTTTTTTTTTATTAACATAAATCCCCATGAGCACGCGACGCATGGTCCGCAAAGGCCTTGAAGCCATAGACGCCTTCCATGCACGGCAGAGCCGCATCCCCTACCAACTATGTTGGCTTGAGGCGTCAAATTCATAACCCATGTCGCATAGCTAGCCTAACCTAACTCCTACGTGACCTGTTGCGCGATACACGTCTCCTAATCCAGATCCAATGTTAATAAAGTTGTTTTTAAACCGAATAACTCTCCATTATGTCCAACTTCCCTCGCCCCAAACAATGCTGCAGCACCCTATAATCCGCGGTCCGCCTACCTTCCTGGATCTCCGCTGCAAGTAACCGTCTCCCTTTCAAATCAGAGAAATCACCAACACTACGTTGGTGTTAGGGGTGTGCATGTAGGGAAAACGTGCATATAGGGAGAAATCATGCAAATAGAGAATGCATTGCAGTTAAAGAATGTTAAATAAATAAATATAAGTAGTTCCTGAAGCAGCGAATATTCAACCTGTTAGCCGAAAATAGCTCAGTTGGTAGAGCGGGAGACTGTAGTTTGTCTGTCATCTCTAGGTCCCTGGTTCAAATCCGGGTTTTCGGATATCTTTTTATGCACCGGGCTTCCATTTGCCGCGCCGGCATGCAGGTCAATTCCCCCAGGAAATCCATGTAACTTGTTTACCGAGAGGCAAATACATCAAGCATTTACATGGATTTTCTGCAGGAGTTGCCAAATATGACTGACAACTCAGGTTGCCAAGTAGAATTCCTAGCTAGCATCACGTCGAGGAGATATTTCCTTCGGACATTTTATTTATCAAGACAAGATCTACCACTTTCTCCTCTATTTCTCTATGGCCAAGATTTGGCCGACAGTCTCAAGGAATAAGCCAAGGCTGTGTTTGTTCCTGGGACGACGGGCGTGGCCATGGAGGAAAAGATGAAGTGCGAGGATGACAGTGTTAGTTCTCGTTCTTCGTCCAGCGGCAATGTATAGTTCTGCATCAATCCATAGCCCGGGAGCTGTCGCCTCATCGCTACCGCTGCCTCCGCTGCCGCCGCGTCCAAAAGCCCGAAGGAGTTATTGCTGGCGCTTTTCTCCAGAATCTTCTTCGCGATCTTGATCTCGCGCATACCATGGTAGCTTACAGCATCATCCTTCACAAACGAAGCATTTGCTTTTTCGCCTCGCTCGTGCTCCAAACAGGACTGAATCCATCGCCCGTGTTCCCCCTCACTCAACCAGGCTGCCTCGACGACCCAGTTCCACACTCGGATCAGCCCCCGAATAGTGAACAGTGGTGCATAAACTCGGATTGCAAGCCTTGTAAAGTGGCTTCTAGTGAACAACGCCCGTAGCTGTTCCAAAAAGTTTGGGTCGTCCTGTTGTTGCGGCGAGTACGACCAGGTGAGGCTCGTGAACCCGCTGGGGCCATCGTTTTCGAGATGAGACAACAGTAAGGCTAGCTGCTCCGCGGAATCAAAACTGGTGCCGATACAGAGTGCGTACGTAATGTCTTGTAGCGATTGCAGCAACAACCGATGTTTTTCCGTGTACCCTTGAAGGACTAGGACGTTCATTGTAGGTGCTAGAGTTATGAGACTGCAGGTCTTGTCGTTTAGCCGGAGCCGTAAGGAGCTTGATGTAGTTATCGGTGTTGCTGCAGTCAAGGACAGGATGGACGAGACGTCGTCCGCAGTGAGTGTTGCAGTGGGTGTAGGTGGTATGGGAGCCTCCCGAATGTCCAGCTGCGAGAGTTGGTGTTCCTGAAGCTGAACTTGCTGAGCGTGATGGTAGTGGCTCATCACAAACCGCCACAGTCGGTCCATCGACCCCGTCTCGCACATGAGCTCCAAGCTCGTCAGCCTTGGGTTCCAAGCGATGAGAGTTGCCAATGCGGTCTGGTGCTTCTCCCATAGCTCCAGGAAGCAGCACGTTGTCAATTTCTCAAGGACACCGCAGGTTTGCAGGGCATGGGTTGGGGGATGTCTTGTCCGACGGGTGATGCCCTGGATGATGGTCTGTTGTGGACGATTCGTTTGCAGATCCGATGCGCTTGCTTGAGCTTTCCCGCACGACAACTCTACACAGTCCCATGGAGACTCGCTCAGCTTGAGAAAGGTGATCTTGTCCAGTTGATTCGTGGCCTCTCCGATCGTCGTAAGTGAATTTTCGATTTTGTCGACGTCCATCTGGATCTCTGTAAGGCGAGGGGAATGACGGATTAGTTCTGCCAGATTCTGCGCTGTTGTGTCTGGTCCACAGTGGTTTAGGATCAAGGTTCGAAGATTGTTGGTTGAAGGAAGGACTAGCTCTGTTGACTGGCGGAATGCCTGCAGCGAGAATGTGTCCAGTGAGGCGCTGAAGTTGGACGGGAGTAGCTGTGGCAGTGATCCTGAAAAGTTTTCCAGTGTGAATGATACCAAACTAGGACTGAATAGCATCCCAAATAAGGGCTTGAAGCTCATCTGTGTCCGTTGCGGATGCCGATGCTCCTCCGTTTCCAGTCTTTCAGTACAAGCGCCGTGGTCCTTCGCCTCACAGCAGCAATCCAGCGTCAAGCTCCCAATATTCGCCTCGTTCACTACCTCGCCTAATTCCCACAGGTCGTCCTCGTTGAGATCGTGCCACCCAAGATGGATCTTCAGATTGATTACACATCGATATTCCCGCAGCAACTCATAGAATTCGACTGCTCGTTCTCGTGTGCGGAAAAAAATCTCAGCGCTTTGCTCCTGCTCCACACATGAGCCCTCATTCTTGTGGATCACAGCCTTTAGTTTTTCCCTGGCTTGTGCCTTGCAACAGAGCTGTTTGTGGTGAGGGCAGAGCCAATGGACTATTCCTGTTGATGACGATGACGCAGATTTAGTAGCAGTAGTTGTGCTGGCTGTGGCCGTAGTGTCGTGCTTGGTGAGAGACGATGCTGTGGTTCTGGTATTGTATTGGATCAAGGAACCCAGGATCCTACCATCTGCCGTCATTGTCTTTGTGACTCGCCCCATATCCGAAGCCGCGAAATCCTCGACTTGTAAGTCCGGCATGAATGTGTCACCATAGTCCTGTTTGTCAGCGTTTGAGGGCGACTGCAGGATGGACTCTAAATCGGACATACTAAAGTACCCCAACAGATACCGGATAGCAATGTCAACTCTCCTTTGCATCAGCTGTGGGGTCGAGTGGGATGAAAGGAAGGGGAGGGACGAGAGCGATGAGGTTGAGCGAGGGAATTGTGGTATGGAGAAAATTGGCGACGCAATGCTGCTCTCGTCCAGTTCCACATCCCCCCCATTCTTGGCGTTTCCATGACTCTCGTAACCAGGTCCTTCTACAAGCGTCTCCTGCGGCCCTTCCTCCTGCTGCTGATCCTGGTCATGCTCACGATCTTGTTCCTGGAATAGAGTTGACTGTAGAGCACACAGCAGACTGAGCAAACACATCTTGTGGGCCTGACAAAAATCCTCGGTGCTCCTCAGCGCATACCCATGGTCTGGGTTACAGATATGCAACCGAGGCGTTGGGAATGGCGATGTTATTTTTGCTGGTGCTGTTGTTGTGGATGGCGGAAAAGCGGACGATGATTCTGCAAAGTGTTCTGACATCCCTGTGTCGACGGGCACGTCGTCCGTCGACTCATCGACTGTATGCTGTCGCTGTTCTTGCGCCCCCTCTTGGCCATGTTGATCCTGGGTTGAGGTGTGCTCGTGTTCACTGTAGTCGCACAAGAAATGCAAACAAAACTCTTCTTGAGAGACCTCTTGCTGCTGTTGATATGGGGTGTGGTACATTGGATATTGTTGGTGTCCTTGGGAGTCGTGCGGTTGGTCCATCGTCTGCATTGTTTTTGGAGTAACTTTAGGCAGGATCACAAACAGGCACGGTGCTGTAGCACCGACCTGCCCCAGGGACGAACTTGATGATGGTCGCTGTTGCATACGAATCCGTTTCTGGGCGACGAGCTGCATCTCGGTAAGAACACTCGAGTGTTTCAACAGCTGGAGCTTGACATTTTGTTCATAGAATTCTATAGGTCTGTGTTGGTCATCCTCTAGAGGTGAACGCTGTGCCAGATAGAGTTGGTCTTGGACTGGTGGATGTGGGGAAAACCCCTGATGCAGCTGCAATTGCGGGCGACGGGAGTCCATCCAGGTATCGCGTTGAAGAGATTCTGAATTACGGTTAGGGTTGGCGAAACCTGTCATGGCTCAAGAGCTCAGGTTTCAAAGTAGCTCGAAGATATGTGGGGGAGGAAGGAAGGAGGACGGTTGGAGAGGAGTGTTGGAGCGTGTTCAGAGCAGTGCTGTGTTTAATTGTGGAGGCGGTGGATCAGGCGAGGGGAGGTAAAGAATGAAAAGAGCGGAAGAGAAGGAGAAGGAGGGAGGACAATGTGGGGCGAAGAGAGGAAAGGAAGGAAAAAAGAAGACAGAGGGGGGGAGCGCCTCCGCCCCACGGCCCATCTTGCACCATAGTCTAGGGTAGGATGGGGGAGTCAGATGGAAGAAAAAATAGATGTACGTATATCATATCCATGGTCGATGCATGCATGAGAAAGAGGGAGGCAAGCGCAAGTGAGGGCTCTCATGCTGCTCCCATGCTGCTCCCGCGTTCATACTTCTCTCTTCTTTAAAGGAGCAGTGGATTGTTTGCCCGTTATACAGTTCTCTATTCTAAGTATTGCAGGGCGTTGCCGGTGTTGCAGGTTCCGAGGTTGTTAGGGCACGGTGCCTGAATACCGGTGGCGGGTTTATTAAAGGGTTGTATGAGAGAGGTGAACATGAATAGGCCTCCTTATTTGTGCGTACACCCGGCAGGACTACGTGGGAACGGGTGAAGAGCCCTTGTGATGCTAAGAAGTAAGAAGCTTACTTGTTATCTTGAAACGCAAGGGCAGCGGGAGCCAAATCTAGGGAATAGCGCTTAACTAATTTTCAGCATTATGTGCAAGACAAGCCATGAATGACCGAAGCGATATGAATCAGTAGTATTTTTGTCCGCAGGCATGCTCAAGCAAAGCATAAGAAAATATCAAGTTGCAGAGGGAGCAGAGCCATACGTTTTGACTACGGTTATTGAGGACATCCTTTCCTAGTCATACTTTGGATCCTACTGAAAATCTATATGAGCACAGCAACGCTTCGTTACCTGATGCCTTGATCGCCCTGGTTTTGGAGTCGCTTCTCGACAAATCAGGCGTGTGAAAAACAAATATGCACATTGAGAGGGTAACAGGTACACGGATGAAAGGGTCACAGCCGAGGGAGACATAAGCGCTAAAAGGCATGTTTACTAATTATGTCCGTATCGTTTATTGTGTGCTAACAAACGCGTACCGATGCTATGCCATCCAGCAATGGCCCGCGTTCAATTACTCGCCATGCGATTTCAATATCGCGGGGTTAGTATGTGCACGATAGGTGACGAGGAGGGCTGAGTGTCCTGGCCTAAGATCCTCTAGGTAAGCGCCTGGATTGAGATCTTCTGGGTAAGTGGGGAAGAAGTCAACAGCCTATTTAACGAGGACAACACTGAAGTGGGAATCAGGTCTAGAAGTCAGCGCTTTCACGGCCATTCAGGAGCCATGTTGGTGGTGTCTTCTCAAATAGGCCGAGCAATAGGTATCCTTGAAAAAACCTGAGTCGGTCAGGTCCGTCTATACGGAGAACATAACGGCTAAATGCCTTGGATAATAACAGCAGAATTGCTGGAGCACACGGCTGGCAGACCGTGTGGGCGTCGAAGCTGGGCCTTTTCTTTGGCCAAATCCACCTCAGAACCACCCTTGGCATCAGAGTTAGTTACCTTCCTGTGTCTGGTGTTGGAACAGTCGAAATCGTCAAATCGCACGGTGGTACAAGGCGCAAACAGTCAAAAAATCGAGGACTGATCTTTCTTCATCATCACTCCATCCTCGCCCAGGTCCAACGTCCACATCATCCTACACAATCCTCACCTCATGGTGTAAATCCGCTTCACCCTTCCTACACCAGATGAATAATTATAACCATAACCACCTCTACGGACGGACGCCTTCGCCCTGGGCGGCCTTGTTCAAGAGCTACTGGAGGACTCGGAGGGTAAAACCCTAAAAGCACCGCTACCGGATCTGTTCCGCTCGATATCCTTAAGCATGTACTCAATGCCGTATCGACTAATTGTCCCTGAAAGCATTTTCTTGTTACTAGTATCTATATCTTGTTCCAGCTACGCTCATGATCTGGTCACTGTTCCTAATGATGTCCTACATCATCTCATCAGTTGGCAAGTAACAATGTCTAGAAGCAATTAAGCCTTCGAATCATGGTCAAAAGTTGTTCTCATAGATATAAACAAGAAAAGTAATGAGGATGTAACAGTTGATTAATCGTTGTCTTCTTTACTGCGTCTGGATTAGACCCTGAGTTCACATTAGAGAAGACGATCCTTCAAGAAGCACAGGATCTGTCGATATCAACAGTTGAAAGGAACCCAACACGATATAGGCCCATCATTCTCAGTCCTCTACCTCAGCAAGCGGACATTCACCAATGGCCCCCGAATATTCACAGTCCCCTCTGCATGCCAAAGATCTTCGTCTACCCTGATGACCCTAAAATGGGCGACTTTCACGTATCGGACACTCCCTCTGACGGCACTAATTATAACGCCGATCAGATTCTGCTTGATCAGCTTCGGGACAAGACCTCTTCAATATTCAAGAACTACGTTACTGAGGACCCAGAAGAGGCCGATTTCTTCTATATTCCTTTTTTGGGGGCCAAATATCTCTCCCACTGCTGGTTTTCCCTGGGCAACAAGGGCGACTGTGACGTGGACAAGAAGTACGCAGAGCCAATGATGAATCACATCCAACATGATTACCCGTACTGGAGGCGTTCCTCGGGCAAGGACCACATCATGACCCACCCCATGGATAGAGCTTCTCTCTACTACAATTCCAGGGAGCGCATGCATAATGCCACCTTCTTGACAACCGTCGGAGACAAGAGAGTCCTGTTCTCAGTTGAGGGACGGTCCAGACGATACGGCGACATTGTTATCCCCGCTGCCAAACTGCCAGCCAATTCGGCAAAGATCAACCCAACGGATTATCTTAGAGCGGATGGTCAGCCCACGGAAGGAGAACGTGACATCTTTGTGCTCTTTGGTGGACAGTACCAGGACGTCAAGCCCGAAGATGATTACTCTGAAGGACTTCATTCGATCTTGTTCAATGGTCTTGATCATCAACCAGACTACAAGATCGCGGGCGGCTGGGGTGTGGAAGAGTACTCAGGATTGCTGGCGAGGGCGAAGTATGGGTTTGCACCCCGTGGTTGGGCCGTTGACACGACGCGCATCTGGGAATATATTGCTTTTGGTGTTGTTCCTGTTGTGATAGCTGATGGCATCATTGAACCATTTGAGGACGATCTGGACTGGGACAGCTTCATTGTTCGGATCCATCGCAATGACGCGCACAGGATGGATGTGATCTTGCGGTCCATCTCCAAGGAGGAGTATGAGCGTAAGCGGCAGGCGGTTTGGAATCACGGTCGTCAGGCGCTGCTGGACCACAATGCTTGGGATCTGATTGTACGGGGATTGTGCAGGAAGGGTCGTCTGGAAGGCAAGCGGACCATCAACCACGATCACCATGAGAAATTGGAACCTGATTTCCGTATTTGAATCGCGACGAAAGCAAGAGGCCTTTGCAAATAATAATAAAAATAGAAATTTCAGGCACAGCTTTTGCACAGCGTGTCTCAAAAAAAAAAAATGGACTCTGTCCACTGCCCTGGAATTAAAGTTGGTGGCGTCGAGACGGCTATTTATCTTCGGCAGTTCCGTGCTCGATCCTTGTACAGCTCCACATCCATTTCCATCAACACAAAAACTGAAATGGCAACTTTCAGCGTACGGTCTGTCTTGGGAATCAGGATAAGGCCGCTCTGTGCTCGCCTGGGACACAACTCTGATTTTATATCTGGACAATTACGATCGTCGCAACGGCTCTTCTTCTCAACGACAAGCACTGTTTGCTATGCAAGGCCCGCCTCCAAGAAGGGGACGGTCCCTGTGGAGGAGAAGGCTCTACTGGGGAGACCATCGAACAACCTGAAGAGTAAGAACATGTGGGAAGCACTGAACAGGGGGTAGAGTATTGTTCTATAACGACAACTGCCGCTCATCAACTGACATGGATCGATCTTTCTTGTTCACTGTCATAGTCGGCATTCTCGGTGTGCCCAATGTTGGGTAAGAATTTGTCCTTTCCATACAATTCTAGCCTCGATAAAGCGTTCACTACTATAACGATCAAAATCTGTCCGCTTTGACTCATAGAAAATCCACGTTCTTCAATGCCCTGACCAACTCCTCCGTCCCCGCCGAAAACTTCCCTTTCTGTACGATCGACCCTTCCGAAGCCCGTGTCATCGTCCCGGATGATCGCTTCTCCTGGCTCGTCCAACAATACCAACCCCAAAAAGAAACCCCAGCTTACTTGACCGTCATCGATATCGCTGGTTTGGTCCGTGGGGCTGCTCAGGGTGAGGGGCTCGGCAACGCCTTTCTTTCCCACGTCCGATCCGTTGATGCCCTCTTCCATCTCTGCCGCGGCTTCGATGACCCCGGCGTCATGCATGTCGACGGCTCCGTCGACCCTGTCCGCGACCTCGAAACCATCCACTATGAACTCCTCCTCCGCGACATCGACTGGTTGCAAAAGATCCATCAGGAACACAAAGCCGTAGCGACCCGGTTAGGTTCTGGAACTGGCGGTACTCCTGCAGAGAAGAAAAAAAAGGAAGACTTTGCGGCCATAGAGAAATGTCTGGCATGGGTAGAACAGGGCAACGATATCCGGACGGGCGGCTGGACCAACAAGGAGATCGAGGTCATCAATCAGCAATACCTCCTGACTGCAAAACCAATGATCTACCTCGTCAATATCAGTGAACACGACTATTTGCATCTCTCCAAGGCCCCGAATCCAGTCATCCAGAAGATTCAGGACTGGATCGATAAGCATCATCCCGGCGACTTGTTGATCCCCTTCTCGGGGTCGTTTGAGAACCAGCTTTCATTATTCAATGACTCACCAGAGGATAAGCAGACAGTGCTGGACGATGCCTCACAACAGGTTGGCTCCACAATTACGTCCGCATTACCAGAAGTCATCATTAGGGGACGTGAGGCCTTGAGCTTACAGCAGTTCTTCACGGCGGGACCAGGGGAAGTTCGATCCTGGACCACGAGGAAGAATACTCTGGCACCGCAGGCTGCCGGTGTTATCCACAGCGATTTCGAGCGCGGATTTATCATGGCCGAGGTATGTAGATATGAGCTGAAAACTCATGAACCCTGTTCTGGCACTTGTAATAACATGTTTGACTTTGTAATCTAGGTCATGAAAATGGAAGACCTGAAAGAGCTTGGATCTGAGGCGGCTGTCAAGGCCGCTGGCAAATACTACTCCAAGGGCAAGGACTACGTTGTTGAGGATGGCGATGTTGTCTACTTCAAATTCAATGTCACCAACAAGAAGAAGTAATAAAGGTGCTCTTTATGTTTATTGCTGTAACATTGCGTCGCGTAGTCAACAAAGAAAAAAAAAAAAGAAAAAAAAAAAATGGGTCAACATTTTACAAAAACCGCACCTTGTCCACACCCAGGCCCCGACGCACCTGCGCGACTGCCACCACCTCCTTAACGACCTCCTCCAAAATCACAACGTTCGTCAACAATTGACCCAACGTAACCATCTTTTCGCGATGAGTTCCATGTTGTTGTGATGGTGTCTCTGAGGTCTCGTTTGAGGAGCTCGTGGAGGCCTCGCGTGTTCTCTGACCCGCCCGCTTGGACTTCTTTGGTGTATCCTCCGCCCCCTCTGCACCTTCGCCCTCTGCACCCTCATCCTCGCTCAAATCCGAGTGCTCTGCAGCCTCGTTCTCTGCCTCGCTATCCGAATCGTTCACGAAACCGTCTGGAAACAAGGGCTTAATCATCATCGTCTCCATGGTCCTGACAAGCACTGGGTTCGGGACCGGCTGGGATTTGGCGGTAAACGATCCCCACGACGACGACTGAGCGCCCGCCACCGATGCAGCGGCTCCTGCCATTCCAGAAGCCATGGGCGGTCTTGATCCCACAGAGTTAGAGTGCATAGATGAGGAATATGATGATGCTGAAGCTGAAACAGCTGTCCTTGAAGACTGGACCGAGCTCGGCATGGTGGTTGCGCTATGCATACTCTGCATATCTGAATCCGCGCCTCCGGGGAGACTGCCGCTGTTGATACTGCTGCTGCTACTGCCGGGCTTACTTGTAGGTCGCCTATAACCCGAGGCATCCAGGAATGGCATGTTGGATGGCGACGACATCAAGCTGGATGGTGCGCTGCTCTTCCTTGCTTTGGGCGAGCTGATCGTGTGTGAAGAAGCGGATTGCGCTCCCTCCGGCGCCAGATTTTTTGTATTGATTCGTTGGGATGTGCCTGAAAATTGCGGGTTAATAGGTCCACCGTGGCTCATAGAAGAACCCGCCATTGATGTCGGGGTGCCATGTCCCGAGCGAATCTCACTTGCAATCTGCTGATTGGCAAAGGACTCGTTAGATCCAAACGCGCTGCTGGGATACTGATGCTGTTGCTGGTAGTATTGTTGTGGGTACTGCTGAGAGCGATGCTGGCTTGACAATCCTGGAGTGTGAATAGCGCTGTTGAGCTCTGTTGCGACAAGGAGGATGCGTCGTCGATCCGCGAGGTACTCATCAAACCCGTCGATTTCGCTGCGGTAGTAGTCGACTTGCTGCGTCAGCGTCCTGAGCATGGTGAAGAATGGAGGGAACGACTTGAACGAGGTGGCTCCAGTGGCCTCATCAGAGATGGCAACTGAGGCCTGTGAGGCAGAGGCAGATTTGCTTGCCTTGGCATTGGTGCCTCGAGACAGGTATGATGGCAGCGTGTCTTCGTCTTCAGAGTCACCGAGTTCGAATCGAACGTCTGCCTGAGGATTGACTTGGGCACCAACTGCCGCTTCGACAGGCCCATCCTCGCCTGGATTCCTGATGTCTGTACTCTTGAACAGGAGCCAACCCTCCAACGAGCGATAGGGGCAGACAGCCAGAGAGGTGATGACTCCAGTCAGCGCCAAGTTAAGTTCAACGCTGTGGGCAAAAAAGTGCGACAAAGTACCCAGCAGGATCTGGAGCAGCGGATCAGAAGGAAGCAGACGATGCAAAGGCACAGGGTGCGAGCGAGGCTTGTCGCAGCAGCTGAGAGCTGCCATGGCTTCCGTGTTCTTTTCCTGCTCTCGAAGAAAGGCATCTCCGGAGAGATCGTCCGGGAGGTCCATCTTTTGTCCATACTTCATGCTACGACGACGCTGTTTCTTGCGCTCGAGCGCCGAGAGTTGGCCTGGGGTTGCCTGACTGCCATCGATCTCCTTGCTCCTCAAATAACATTGATGGGTCTCCACTGCACCCTCGGCATCCCGGAGATAGGACTCGTAGCCGTGACAAAAGATTTCTGCAGTGTTGTGAGGGTTGATAGTCGAGATGAGGGCGTAAAAGAGATCCAGCTCATGCACATGATGGCTGACGAGGGGCAAGTCCCCATCTCCTCCGTTGGATTGGCCTGGCATGTCCCGGAATGATGTCGCCTTGATGTCTGGCTGGATGCTAAGCAGCTTGAGCGAGTATTTACAATGGCGGGTGATGAGTGTGTTCAACAGCTTCAGGGTCGCAATTACAGTCGGCTGAGATCGAGACTTGAGCCGGGAGAGGATCAAGTCCTTGAGCGTAAAGCGTCCACTCGCCGTGAAGTAGGATGAAGTCGTTTGTGGATTCTGAATCTCTGCAAAGGCATCATCCGTGTCCTGTGATGCACCTGTGGCTCTATTGTCATCCTCAGAGGACATTAAGAACCCAAGGACCAAGTCCACCAATGCCTCATGCTCCAATACTTGAAGAATCAGATCAATGTAGCTGATAACGGCGACCGAGCTGCCATCGGTGTCGGAGCACTCCATGATGGACGGGAACAGGATATTCTCGAGAAACACTGTCTTGAATGTGTTGAGAAGCGAGTCGACGATTTCGCTGTTGGGGCATCGCATCATGATGTCCTGACAGAATTCGAGGAGCTTCAAAAATGCATCCAGTCGCGATTGAAAATCAGTCGAGGTAGACAATTCGATGTTGGCGCGCCTCGATGGGGTTGACTCTGTTGGTGGCGCGCGATCATTCAGTGTTCCGACCATGCTGTTGATCGTGTTCGGTCCGCCTCGAACGAGCAGTTTACGCGGAAGCTGAGAATACGACGCACCGACACCTGCGCTCAGGAAGGAAGTGAAATCTGACTCGATGATGTACTCCCCCAGAGAACCAGTAGCCAGCTCCATAAGGAAGAGCAATCCTGTCCTTGCAAAATCACCCGTCTTGCCCTCGCGGTGCACGAATTTCGAGAGATAGGTGAACAGCAAGAATTCGTAGTCGCTTTTCGGTGCTGGCGTAGTTTGTTGGGTGCCCTGGCCGTCGGCGACAGAGGTTTGTTCAGAGGCCGGTTCTTCTTGCTCGGTCGAATCCAGAGCCGCTTGCGATCCATCCAGTGGTTGCGATGGCGATTCCTTCTCGGCTGCATTCTCGCTGGTCGAAGCCCTCAGATTCTTCAACATCTCCATGGTCTGCAGATTCTTTTGGATCCTCTTCGCGGCCACCCTCTGCGGCACCGTCAACCATTGCTTGTCGTGGAAAAAGATGTTGAGCAGCTCTGGATATCCGTGGATCTTTGAGCAGACAATGTACATCAGATCCACAAGGTCCTCGTGATAGCTCTCACCCTGAAGTTCTGTACCAGAGGCGCATGTTCGCAGCAGTTTGACGGTCGGTTTGTGGACGGCATTGTGGACAAGGAAGCGATCATCAAGGAGGTTGATCATGGCCGCAATCGTTCGAATGGTCTCGCCCATGATACCCTTGGGTTGATCGCCCTCCGCCATGTTGACCAGCTTGGCCAGGATATTGTGTTTGAGGAGATACTCCATGCACACTCCCGTTGTTCCTGCAGCATCATCATCCAGACGTGACTCTTCGTCCACAAGGAGATCCACCATGTTCTTGAGCCGGGCTGGGATCTCGGTCTGTTGGACATAAAGGCTGCGTTTCTCTGGTGTCGAGAACCCATTCTGCAGAATAAAAAATATAACGGTTGCGGCAAAAGAGGATGCGGGCATTAGAGGCAAGTTAAGTCATCGATCGCACTCTGGAACTGGTAACGAGCAAGGTATAACTGCAAATGGTTCCCCTGCCGCGTACCTGAATAGTGGTCCAGCACTTGTTGAAGCGTGTCAGCTGCACAGCACTGCTCGGCTGTGTCTTGGGTGCGGTCGTCAGTGACTTTCTCAGCTTGTTCCAGAAACTCGGCTCCATCGTGTTTTAATGCTATAGAAGTGGATACAGGCCAGCGGCAGAGGCGGGAAACAGGACCGGCACGGTTATTGAGGAGACAAGATGAGGCGTGAGATGATGAACAGGTCCCCTTGTGCGGCAGATGTAAGAGCACTCGGGAATGGAGGATGGACAACGGACAGGAAAAAGAAAAAGAAAAAAGAAAAAGAAAAAGAAAAGATGAACCCTCGAAGGACGATAGCTCTATCGAGTGCAGATGACCAACGTCGAATGAGGACAAGAGGAAGAGGAGTTGATGGCAAACGAAAGCCCAGGGCGGACGGAGGAGGTGAGGGTGTAGGGGTGGGGGTCGAGAACGTGGTAAAAACGGTCTCCTGCGTTTTTTTTATTTTTAACCCTCAAGTCACAACTTTTCATTTTTCGCCTAGGCGAATCGCGACGCGCGTGCAGGGCTCACATCAGTTCTTGTTCGCTGAATAGCGTAGCATTTATTTGGAAGGATGCTTAGAAAGGCGCCGTTCGCGTGGAGACCCCACGCCTGTCGGGCCCAACCAGTTATCCCCAAAGGGCTCCTATAAAACAGAGGACCATGCCGTCTCCAATCCACCCTTGTCCTGTCCTGTTCATCTTCAGCATACTGAGCACATTGATGGTGCCGTTGTGCAATGTTGTGGTGTTGTGGTGTTGTACCATGCGCAAGTGAGAAAAACAAACCCTCTCGGGCTTAATTCTAGCTAGTTTTTAGTCGAGACCTCCTTGATTTCACTGGAGCCCCAACCGTCGCCTCTGGTCGTGGCCTCGTTCCTTCCGTTCCAGCCGCCCATCTCAGCATCCCTGGTAGCAGAAGTACCCGTTGATGCCCAAGCAGGCGAATCCCAGGATGCTGCTTGAGCAGGTGGACTGTTGGTGGCATGAGCATCCCAGGCCGCTGCTTGAATAGGATCATTGCCGGTAGCTTGGTCAACCCAGGCTCCCAATGGAGCTCTGGTACCGCTGGCTGCTGAAGCGCCAACGGGTTCAGCTTCATCATCGTCGCCCAAGAAGTCCTCCGCCTCATAGGTACTACGAATCCAAAAGAAGTATCAGGGGCGTTAAACACCGAATACGCAATAAAACAGACCTGATTTCAGCCATCACCGGCTTTGAATACTTACGTATTCGAATCAATGTACCCGGCCAGGAAATCTGGCACCTCTTGTTTGCATTCCGCTAAGAGTTTTGCCAGCTGCGGGGCCATTGCCACGCTCTTGTCGTTATAAAACGATGTGGCGTAACCAGGGTTGCCTGCGCGACCAGTGCGACCAATTCGATGCACATACTCGTCAATGTCAACGCAAAGATCGTAGTTGATCACATGCATCACATCCTTGATATCGAGTCCGCGCGAGGCAACTGACGTGGCAATCAAGATGGGGCTTCTGCCCGACCTAGAAGGACGTGGGATGTTGTAAGCAGTAGATGGTAAATGCAATGTCCTTCAAATATTATCGAGTCCTTGGAAGTTCCTTCCAGTTTACAAAGCATATTTACGTACTTGAATGCCTCCAGAGAATGCTCGCGCTCGCTCTGGGTTCGATCTCCATGGATAGAACAAGTCGGGAACAGTTTGTTATATAGGAAGTCATCCAAATTATCCGCTGTCCTTTTAGTCTCCACGAAAATCATGGTTCGCGAGGGGGGATGGGTGAGCAGAATGCGAACCAAGGCCTCTCGTTTGTCCATCTCGTTAACGTGCAAGATCGATTGCGTGATATCATCCGTCGTGCCGCCGATTCTAAACAAATTAACACATTACAGGACCCCGTTTTTTAAAAAAAAAAGGTCTGTGGTTAGAACAATAGCGTTTATCAGGTACAAGCATAGTAGTATGGCCGAATATATGTACAGCAAAAGAGTACTCCAACATACCTCCCAATCCGTAGGCGACAATAGTTTTCATGAAGGAAGTCTCTTGCGAGCACTTGGATCATTTTGGGAAAAGTAGCACTGAACATCAGCGTCTGGAGTCCCTCATCGCGAGGGAGGCTTGAATGCTTCATAATTGACCGGATCTGGGGCTCGAAGCCCATGTCCAGCATTCGATCCGCCTCATCGAGGACAACGTGGCGCACATGGGTCAGCGACACTGTTCCTCGCTCGATCATGTCCCTCAGTCTGCCTGGGGTTGCAATTAGAATATCACACCCTTGGGTGACTTGTGCTCTCTGCACGTTGATGTTGGCGCCACCATAGATCACAGCAGGACGGAGCGGCGTCATGTATGCGAACTATTGGAGTTGACAAATGGATACAAAGAAAATTGGTAAGTGAACTGCCTATCTAATCCACACCAGATTCTTCTAGCTCGTCTTAACTTACTCTACGCGCCTCTTCGAAGATTTGAATTGCCAGCTCTCGGGTTGGCAGAATCACCATAAGAATGGGACAAGCCTTGCCGTGGCCATGTCCAGGTTGGCGGCGGATCATATGCAATTTACCACAAAGGATCTTCTTGGTGAGATTTGAGATAATAGGCACTAAAAAGGCGGCCGTCTTTCCAGATCCCGTCTGGGCACATGCCATCAGATCGTAGTTTTTGAGCAATATAGGGATCGCACTTTTCTATCAAGTTCATAAATGCAAACGAGCTCAGAACCATCCTTCTGTGGAGGCGTAGCTGACCATGAAACAAAGGCACCCCGTACTATGCGTACCTGGATAGGTGTGGGCTCAGTGTATTTCATGCGCTTAATATTCGCGAGCACGGCCGGCTCCAGGTCGATGTCTTCAAACTATGATGGTAATATGCGTCCAAGAAAAACATGGTCAAAAAAAGGGCTTTTATGCATGAGAAAAGCAAGTAAAATGTGACTCCGCAGCCTTATTAGTCGCTAACCGACTCCATGGGGGCGAGCCTCTCTGGGCCTCCGAGGACTTTGCCCTTCAGGTTGGCATAATTTTTGAAATTGATGCCCGAGTTGATCCTATTTTCTTCGCTGAAGAGCTCTGCCTCGAGGCCATGGTCGTTGGGGGCGGTCTCGCGAGTGTAGCCTGGCTTCCAATTGTACACGCGCTGCTCGGATGCCCAGGAGAGGGGTTGGGGCATGTCTGTTTCTCTTTTGCCCCACTTGCCAATCGTTCCGATCATGGTCGAATGTGGAGTGAGGGAAGCGTAAGTGGCGGATATGAGGGATGAGCTATTGTCGCTGTTGTGGTGGTCGTGGTGGTGGCGGTGGCGGTGGCGGCGGTAGCGGAAGAAGCGATGTAAGAGGTGAGGAAGCAGAGGAAAGAAAGAAGAGACAAAGAAGGCAACTGGAAAGAGGGGAAAAGGACAGTGTCGCGTCCATCAGTGACTGCACGAAACTGATTAGAGTTGACGCACACAGTGCACAGCCATGGGATAAAAAAATTATGCTCCAAAAAAACAGACTCAGGGGCCAGCAACACTCGCGCCAAGCAAGACATATGCTTTCGTTCAGAGGTCTAAGTCCTGTGGTCTTTCTGCCAATTCCGCTTGGCAAAAAGCCATTGCAAAGAGAAAGCATACAGCCGACTCAGGTCCTGCTTCACTGGCAAGGAACACTGCGGATTAATGCATGGAGTCAGCTCATGTCCTGTTCTATCCGGGTGTTTATTGTTACAGTGTGTGAACGAGGAGAACACTATAAAAATACAGATATAAGTACATCATCGAACAAGAGGCATGCAAGACAAGGAAGCATAGTACTTCTTCTCCCACGCCTCTCTTCGATGAGTTAAAAAAAATAAAGGTGTCCAAGGATGAGAAAAAGAGGCACCCGGTACGCAACTGAACGCGACCGCGAACCTCTAAAAAAACATATCACCCCTGGCGCCCTGGGATATATTCAGCTTTTACGCTGGCGAGACGGAGTCGAACACCTGCTTCTGCCCAACCTTCTCTCTCTCCAGCGGCTGCTTGACGCTGTCAGCATGATGGCGTCCAACCTTTTCGACATCAACAATTCCTTCGTCTCCACCCTTTTCAAGAATCGATGGCTCTGCAAACTCGACATGATCCGATGCATCCGACGCAGCCTGCTTTTGAGCCCTAGCCAGCTGCTTTTTCTCCAGCGTCGCCTTCGAGGGCACAAACACCAGGGTGATCAGCACACAAAGCAGTGTCACCGCGAATCCAATCCATAGCCCGACCTTATAACCTTTGAATTTAGATCCTGTCGATTTGATAACCGCGTCCGAAATGGCATTGGTGATAGCGAGTCCAACTCCAGATCCAGCCTGCATGGCCACCGAGAATACAGCGCCTAACAAAGGAAGAAAGGCGAAAGCGTCAATGAAAGGATTACGATATGATAGCACCATCATGACAGTACAGCCTTATATGAACAACGTACTGTTGAGTCCATGTTCTTCAGACTTAGCCATGGTCAGAGCTGCCACCATCGCCGAGGTATAGGTCATGGCAATGCCGATTTCACCAATGCACATCGAAGGAAACGGCAGTGGCCAGTATCCAGTATTCTCATCTGCAACTGCAAACAATGCTGCCGAGATAGCCATGCAGCCCGTGCCGACCACCAACAACGGCTTAGCTCCCACCTTGGGAATCAGATATCCCGCCAATGGGTTCAGCACCAGTCCTGGGAATGCCAGTGGGAAGAACGCGTAGGCAGTGTTCAAGGCCCCGTATCCCATGACTTCCTGGAAAATTAGTGTACAATAAAGGTTGTAGACCAAATACCAGGTCTGGTACAAGGCGCCGACAATCAACATGGCGGTGAACATGCGAGTCCTGAAGATTGACATCGGCAACATTGGCGATTCGACCTTCTTTTCGACCCAGACAAAGAAGAACAACAGCAGGATGCTCAGGACAAGACACACAATAACGGGTACAGAAGACCAGCGGCCGTCCGAGATGCCGTAGACAAGAGCCAACAACGCAGCAGTAATGGTGATGGCACCGACGAGATCCAGCTTCACATTGGCGCGGTACGCGGCATCGGATTCAGGGATAACGAAGAATGCCACGATAGCGATCAGCACACCCATGATAGCCGAGCTAAAACACGCACATAAAAAAGCTTGAGTGAGTTGTTGCTCAAGATCAAAACGCGGAGCTGATGAGATTCAAGCCTGCTTGCGTACATGTAAAAAATATACTTCCAGCCGATGGTGGCGGTAAAGACACCTCCCAAGACAAGCCCGATCCCGAAACCTAGGGCGCCACTGCTCGAAAAGACTGAGAGCGCCCTCGATTTTTCGACCTGCTCGGTGTAGGTAAACTGGATAAGTGCCAAGGCATTGGGGATGGTTGCTGCCGCGCCGAGACCTTGCATCGCACGGGCGATGCAGAGCAGGATGACGCTTTGGCTTAGGCCGCAGACCAGGGACCAGATCGAAAACCAGATAAGGCCCGTGAGGAAGAGTCGTTTATGACCATACTTGTCACCGAGTTTTCCTCCGATCAGGAGGAAGGTACCGAAGGTCAGGGTGAACGCGTTAACGATCCAGGGGAGCTGGCTCTCCGAGAAGTGCAGCTCGGCCTTGATGGTTGGCAACGAGATGTTGACGGCAGACAGGTTGGCAACGTCCAGGAACTGGGCCAGACAGAAGACAATGAGAACAGTCCACTTTGGAGCGGGCTTGGTTTTGGAGACCAGCATCGGTTCAGTTCAATGCTTGTTCGCGTAGGTGGTGTACACAGCAGAAGTATAGGGATTGGAGAGGAATCAGTGAGTCCGTAGTTGGATGAATGATGGGTATGAAGCGAATCGAAGAGGGTCAAGATGATGATTGATGATGATGATGATCGTCGCATCCATTCCTCTTCTTGGCTGGCGAATCTATGAACAGGGCGCCAGTGTTTTGTTTGGACGTTGCCTGCCCGCATTTAAGTTCCGATTGCTCCTGGGGCATGGTCTTCTTACCCCGCAATAACGACCGCAACCCACTTTTTTTTTTTTTTTTTTTTTTTTCTTAAACGCCCATGCACACGGGCCTCCTATTTTCCCCATAGACGCGTTTCTGCAATGTGTCCATCGTCTGTTCCCTAGGACAGACGCGGCCTTTTGATTCCTGATAGGTGGATAGGTTAGCAAGATGACCGGCACCCCGTGATGAATCATATCTTCCTAGGGAGATGCAGATCCCCATCATCGCCACCATAGCCCCCGACATCGCCCATCATCCGCATCCTCTTGGCCACACACACAGCTGCGAATCCTCCTTTCACCACGCATCTATCAAGCCGTGACCCCATTCTGGGCCCCCTCGGAACTTGTTTCTCTTGTGCCATGCAAAAAAAAAGAAAAAAGAAAAAAAAAAGCCCTTAGTAATCCTACAAAGCCAATGATATTGCCAAAGCCAGGTTTTATAAATGGCGTATCAATCCCTTCCCATAACTCATTTTATTCACGCACCAGAAACACCATCTAGTCACGTCCCTCCCCATGTTCTTCATCGCGTCTCTGGTCCTGTGCCTGGCATTCACCATGGCCGTGGTCTCTTCGGCACCCCTCATTCAACCGCCTAGCGACTTACAAGGCATTGCTGCCGCTCGCGCCCTCACTGCTCCCTCCGTAACGTCTCCCGTCTCTATTGTTCCGACTGCAGCGGCTTCAGCTACCACCATCTCTCCCTCTGCCACCGCTGCAGGCCAGACCGCTGACGTTAGTTCAGTGACCACAATCGCGCCTCAGACAGATATCATCCCCGTGACAAACATCCTGCCCGTCCTGAACTTTCTTCCACCTGCATACTACGACAGTGCGCGAGATCGTCTTGTCGACATCTACGGCCACGGCTATAGCGGCTATGGTGGACTGGGTAGTCGCGGCGACCACAAAGGCCATGCCAACAGCGATTATGGTGCCAACATGGTTGTCATCCCCGGACTTGCCAGCAGCGGCGCTGGAGTTGGCACCTATGGTGGCTATGCCGGGCTTGGGGGGCTACGACAGACGTAGTGGCTACAATGCCAGCGGCACGAAGCCATGAAATGACGACGAACAGGCAACACGCGTGTGAATTTTACACCGCGCACAATAAAGATCGAGTCTTCACGTAAATTTGATCTGTAGCATGGAAAATGAATAGTTTATTATCGGCAATGATGGTTTTAAAAATTGTCTATAGTGTGTTGTGTGGTGTGGTATCGTCACAATGCTCTGGTGCCTTACGCGCCAATGTACCAACGGTCCTCCAGGACAGCGATGCTGGCACCCAAACACCAACCTGTCTCATAGTCGCGGATCTTCTTAGCCAGGCTGATCTTGCGATCCGATGGAATACCATAGCCATAACCGAGCAGTCCATGGATGTAGCTCAGGTCCATGCACATCTCTGCCACAGAGCTCAGCTCCTTCCTGGCCTCCGCAACGCTCTCGAATTCCTCAAAGTTACTTTCGTCCGCTACGCAGACACGGTCGGTCAGATCCGCGAGTTCCTGGAGCGTCATCTCCTGCGTGGGGATCTCGCTTCCCAACCGGAAGGGTGCGATGCGATCGAAGATGAAGGAGAACGCATAAATGTCGGACTCGAATGCAGTAGCAAGCGAAGGCTGGTACACGCCATTGAACGAGCATGGCACCTGGTTGCAAGCCTTGTTCTTGTAAAAGATGGCCTCGACAACGCGTCTACACTCTCCAATTGGATCCGAAACTCCCATCAGGGTCACATCCCGTCCCTTGTACTGCACTGTCGTGTGTGTATTGACGGGCAAGCACGGGTGGAGGTACTCGTCCTCTTCCAGCTCGATGCCGTGCTTGTTGGTGACAGGATTTTCGATGACATAGTGGTTAATTTGGTTGCGAGCCTCGTTCAATCCATAGCCGAGGTATGAATGCTGGAAGAGAACATAGTCATTGCCGTTGAAGCCCATGGACCTGCGATGGTCGCCCTGTGCGACTGAATGTCCGTTGACGACCTTGGGTTCAAATACAATCTGCGTCGATGCTCCACCGAGATCCAGAATGGCGACCGTGGGTACTTTTGTCAGCGAGTTGACTCTCTCCAAAAGATAATTGACAGTGACCCATGCATAGACACCTGTGAAAAAGACAAGAATACGAAATCAGCCAATGGAACAAAGTAGAGCACGCCATCCTAGGATGTACACAGTGATGTCGCAGCATACCCTCATCAGCTCCGTTCATGATAGCGACGCCCTCTTCCTTGATGATGGGGAAGGGGTAATTGGTCTCCAGTCTGTTGCGGACAGCAGCCAAGATATTGCTCGATTGTGCAGCGCCCAAGAGTCTCAATCCAGCGGTAGCCTTGACTGCGATAGGCGTGCTCTTGTGCAGGAACCTGGGGACGGTCTTGAGGGCTGTCTCCAGAAGGGGGTCGAGACTCCTGGCGGCGCCCTCAGCATCTTCATCGTAGCTGGACAGACCAGGCTTGAGCTGCTCAAAGACCTCGCTCTCCAGCTCGGGTGTAGCCTTGCAGTAGTTGAATTTGTAGGCGTGAATACGTGATCCGGACGATCCAGCGTCGATCATGAGCACATACTGGACGAGGGGTCTTCCTGGATGGGCGAGTGTGCAGTGGTCCGAGGTGATATTTTCTGGCCACGTTGCTGAAGTGTTTTCCAATAATGGATCTGCAAAATTGTACGAAAATGAAATTAGTCAAGTGGTTAGTTTATTTTTAGTGGAACAGAGAACGGGGGCAGAGATGATAAGACAACAATGCCAGAGGGCCCTCGACATACCGATGGGGAGATTGTTATGGAGAATGGGCTGCTTCCGAGGGAGCATCACAAAGAAGAAGAGGGTCAGGCAAAAGGCGAGAATTGCACCGTTGCGGAGCCAGTATCCTTTGCGTGCCATGATACGATCGTTCAGGGTCATAACGTGGAAGCAAGGGGACTGATCGATAGTGTTCAATGGCTCTCTATGGTGGCCTTGGTCCGGAGAGGAGGGCTCCGCGAAGATGAGGTCGAAGAGGGCTTTCTAAGGTCTCGCTTTTGAATCGGCTGCTGCTGCTGGTGTTTGCTACTGCCGATAGTGCGATTGGTGTCAGAGGAAGACGACGGTGTTCCTGTTCAGCAGCTGGACCCCGGAGAGATGCAACTGGTTGGCTGATGGGCAGACGGATGAGCAGACTGTCTGATGAGCAATGGCGGATGGCCTTGAGGATGATGATGAGGGACCAGGGAAGTAGAAGCTTAGCAGGAACAAGATAAATGTAGTTGTAGATAAGGGGGCGAACCTTGGTCTGCAGCCCAACCCTGATGGAGATAAAAATAACCCATGGCGGTGTCTTCAACCCATCCTATCCCTGAACACACCAGTCTCATACCAGAGCAGCCATCTACACCCATTATCTATCTGACTTCCGCCATCCTTCACAGCTACACTTCGGCATCGTCCTCGTCGGCTTTCTTCTTATAAGCATATTCGTATATTGGTATTTGTCTATGTGGATGCGGATGCGGATATAGATGCGAATGTGGATGCGGATGTGGATGGGCGAGCGTATCGCCATGTCGCCTTTGTGCGTTCGTCCCCTTCATAGTTTACATGTACTCGGCCTGGCGCCCGTGCCAGTCCAGCTGACGAAGTACACCAACTCTCGAAAACGTGCTCATCTGGATACCAACGAAACCTTGCGCGTGTGCCATAAACACCTGGTCTACCATCATCGGTCCGAACACACCCAGTCTCTCGGCCGTACCCATCTGTTCATGATCCAGATAACGCCATCCAAGGTCTGCAAACTTCTTCAGCTCCTCAGGTCGCCTCTCGTTCGTCGCCACAAACACTGGCAGCATCTTGGAGAAATCCATGCTCAGGTTCAGCTTCGACTGCACCACGTCTATTCTCTCCGCAATCTGCTCTGTCGATGGCAGACAGTGCACCATCTTTGGCCCCTGGAAGTTGCCCTCGCAGTACGCTGCAAAGTCTCCTCGTCGCACATGGATCGCAAGGTACTCGTACTCCGGCTCGATCTCCTGCTTTGTCTTGGGATCGACCTTGGGTTCCGGCTTGACCAGATTCTCCTCCATGAAGTCTTCCACAAATGACTCGAGTTCCTCCGTAAAGTGCAAATGCTGTCCGAATCGCTCCCACTCGGACTTGTCCTTGACCATGATCTTGTATGTGTTGGATATGCAGAGGTACTTTTCATCCTTCCGAGGCGCCAACATAGAGGTGATCATCTCCAGCTTGGTGACATCGGCAGCAAGTGGTTCCAGTGTCACATTGAACTTCCATTGCTTCAGAAAGCTTTTGGCAGTAAAATCGATCGTACGCTTCGATCCAAAGCCACAGGTGATCCCGCACTTGAGTTCGCTGAGCTCCGCCTGTTCTGCATCTCTCAGTTGATGGAACTCCACTATCTTGATGCCCGTCAACTCTGTAAACCTGGCCAGGTCCAGGAACTTGGACCACGGCTGGTTCTGCTTGGACTTGTCATGGGACGAGGCAGTGATGGGTGGGATAATCAAAGTGCGACCAAGGGCTTTTGCGACCTCCATTCCGCGGAGCATGCCATAGAACTGATTGGTGATCCCGGCATAAGGTAGGTAGGTCAGATACTTTGTGTCGTGTTTGTCCAGTGTATCTTCGAACGGCCTGGCAACGACCGTCTCTTCTTCTATCTCCTGTTCATTGTCGCTGTTATTGCTTCCTGAGTTTAAAGGTGGGCTCTGCGTGGTATCTTCAGACGAGTCCGCGGCTGCTTTCGAGTCCTGTTCCGGTCTGTCGATGCCTAGATTCTCTGCAGGTCGGGGGAGGGCTGTTCGAGGTCGGCCATTCTGGTATGTACCCTTGTAATCAGGTGTCTGGCAGTCTGAGGAGGATGAATAGGATGCGGAGGTTTGACAGGACAGGGAATCCAGGGAATCGAATCGAGTAAAGGATGAGGAGGTGGTATGGAGGATGAGCATAGACCCGGACGAGACCAGGAGGATCAGGGCGAAGAGGAAGAGGATACGCTGGTGGCTGTGGCACCTTCTTCCGAAGGGGTATTTCGCAGGCAGAGCCAGGATGCGGTTTAATGCCTTTGGCGAGGAGGGCATTTGGCGGCAGGGAGGGGTGTGAAGTGCAGAGGTGAGGCGGCGGAGGGGGAAGTGACGGATTCAGAGATGTCTGCCAGGGTGGGAGTTTTGAAGGAGAAGGAGAGGTGGAAGAGGGAATGGATGAATGGGCGATGGATCTATTTTCGGGGACGGCCGCAGTCTGGGCCCGTCTGTTCTGGATGACATCTTCATGATCTCCCTTCCGTGTCCGATTCATTCTGCGGACAAGGCTGGGACCCTGAGGCTGTTTCGGGTCGCACAACAGGGCTGTTTCACTCGAATGAATTTTCTATTGGTCCGCATTCAACCAATCATGGGCAAGGGAGCGAGGAGGCACCGGGAGGCCCCCCTTTCTACAGATCAACTGGGTCTTTGATAACGAACAAGCTTCTTTTCTTTTTCTTGGTGTACCGGGGCTTCTCCAACACTTCCTCATTGAAGAACCGAGAGTCTCCCCCCCTGTCTACTTATGTCACCCTCCATCCCCAAACGTGCAGCAAACTAAGCAATGATGATATCAGGCAACGACTCTCAGACTGGAAATTTCATGATGTCTAGATCTGCAACAATGACATAAGTCTTGCTATGAAGACAAGGAACCAACGACGCGTATTCAGCCCAATTTTTTTTTTTTTTTGGGAGGTATGAGCAAGAGTAGCATCAGAGGGACCAAATGCACCGACCGATGGAGACGCGCATAGGCCTGGAGAACCAGTAAGATCAAAGCCAGCGAGACGAGACGAGACCTGTGCATGGGAGTCACTATCAGGAAGATTAGAAAGCCATGGCGCGTCGGGGAGAACAGCGCGATGCGTAAATGATCACCACCACCACCGCCACCGCCACCAAACCCCCCCCCTCCCGTTATTGGATTCTGCTCAAAGTCGCATAGCAATGTTAGTGGATCGAGGAGCAGTGAGAGGGTTCGATAGATTCTTAGACGCCGTGGTTCCGTCCACGCACCTTTGCATTATTATAAATGCGCCTAGAGGCACTGCCCTAGTCATCTGCGTCTCCCATCCATCTATCCCTCTTTGATATGAAATATTCCACCACTTACTTCTCCGAGGAGCGCTACAGCGGGAGTGCAAGCGGGCATCTCGATATGTGCTCAGTTAACATTGAGGAGCCCAAGTAAGCGAGGTACTTCCGTCTTCAGTGATCAAAAGTACATGGTGGTCGGGAATGGTTCGGGATCCCAAACCGCGTCCGACTGAATGGAGAATAGAGGTCAGTGTCCACAAGAGAAGCGTGGAGCACGAAGCCCTGTCATGGTCAACTCCATGAATGTTTTTGAGAACTCTTTCTCATGGATTGTTTTCCATTCAACGTCGTGTTTGTGTCACACAAGTGTAGCACGCTGTTCAGGTTGACGTGTAATGCACGAGTCCAAGATATCGTTAGGTTTTTTTTTTTTTTTTTTTTTTTTTTTTGAAAGAGATGGTACCCTGCAACACCAATGACAAACGAACCATGCGCAGCGATCGACGGGGCACCCAGAGTGGCAAGTCGGGGGATGGGGAAGAACCGCTTGCGCGAGGTCTGGAATTTAGTCTTTACGCTGCATCACAGATGTGAAGGGAAGGAGGACGATCCGCAGGGAGTGGAACGACTCGCATTTTTTGCGTTTGAGATCAACAATTGTCCCATTGCATGGCTCACATCTACTTAAAAAGAAAGAAAGAAAGTAATCGCCGATTCTTCTAGATCGAGCAGCACTGCATCGTCATTTTGCAAAGCTGGAGCGTTGTTTGCAGACTTAAGCAATGCGCACACAGCGCGACCTTGCTCTCAAGATGCCGACAATAGACTACCATATGCAATAGAGCCGAGAGATATTCAGGGCAGCTGATTTGTCGTGGGGGACAACGCAGCAAAAAAAAAGCCCACACCAATGGAGCGAGCTCGACTGCGATGTGCATAAGGGCCATTAGGCGAGAATTTATCCTGCCCGTATTGGTACATGCCGTGGATGCTATAATGCCGAGAACAACCAGCCTCTTTCTCGATTTTTACGAATACACACAAAGCTCAAAAAGCTACTTTTCCAGCATGAAACGCGAACTCGTGCCATAGGTTGTTATATTGCGAGAACAGCAGAAGGTTTGATTATTCTAATGAGAACCAATAGACTATGAATTTCGGATAGAACGCGATCCAGAGCGCCAAGTGTCTGCTTTAGATGTCCCGATGATGTGCATTCGTCTCCTCGGAAATAAGGGGCAGCAGCGTTGCCGGAATTATAACCATAGGGAATGGTCATTCACACTCGTATCGAAAACGTTAACAGAGCGCTGCACGTTATTAAGTGGGGAGAAAGTTAGTCTCAGGAGTGGTCGCCATGGACGCGACGGGTGCGTTCGTGGTCCTGCTGGGTGCAAAACTGCCGTCCTCGGAACCTAAAACCAACGGCGCTAGCTACTTGCACCGAAGCTATGCTCAGGATTGACAAGGCCAAGGATAATGAAGCAAAGACGGTCTTGAGCATGGGCGCCATTTGTAATGTGAATGAATAGCTGGGATAGAGGTCAATCGCGTTGTTTTACTACCTTGGATTGCTCGCGAGGAAAAAAAAAAAAAGAAGTTCAAACTGCGATTGTCCTTCAGGCGGATGATAGACCATTTATGAGACAGACGCTGTGCAGTAACTGGTGTTATTGGTGGCTAGTCTACCTTTGGGTTCCTGAGATAATAACTGTCAGAACATGCTACATTACGCAGCAACACAAAAAAAAAACTGCTCTACACGGATCGTATGGAATGAGGGCACCAACAACGTTAGTCTTGTACAGACATGCATTTCGTTCAGGTATGACAGCAACGGTCGTGGCCCAGCAAACATGGTGATACAATTTTGTTTTTTTATTCATTTCCTTCGAGACATGCCCAGCCTCTCTCTTTTCTGCACATCTCCCAAAAAAATTTTCAATTGCAGCTTTTTGCCACCTGGAGATGTAAGCGCCCATGTTGTTGTTGAACCTCTCCAACTTTATTTGACTACGGATGAGATACTCCTTAGTCTTTCACACCATTCCTTGATAGAGTGGCTATCTATCCAAGGACTCTATGAAGAGCGCTTCAAACTTTTTTTTTTTTTTTTTTTTTGCAATTGATAGGAGCAATAAACTAGGACTAATTGACTAATCGAATTAGGACGCGATTAAGGACGTTGGACATGCTGATGTTGCGCCGTCGCTTCTTAAACGCCAAACGATCCCAAGCAAACCATACACATCGTAGAAATCTGAATAGTCGTCCACGGTCTCGTGAGGAGGGAAAAAAAAAAACCATTGACCACGGGCTGCACGTCGTTGAATGGAAAAAATTATTCTCATGAGCAATAGTCGCGGACGCAATAGGCACATTAGTGATCCTGCTGTGCATCAGATCGCCAGTTCCGAAGTCTAGTCCACTATCGCTGGCATCTTTGAGCCAAGGCAATCTTTAAGGTCCGCAAAGTCAATCTCAAAAATTAAGACCAATGAGCCAGAGAAGCAAGGAGCGACTTGAACATAGGGGCCATTAGTGAGGAGAATAGAAAAAAAAAAGTGGAGGATATTTCCCAGTGTCGAGGCTGCTTGCTGAAACAAGAACCGGGTGTCGTCTTTCATCTACCAAAGGCCATTTTGTCTTTCATAAGGAAGACAGAGGTCCTGATCTGGAAAAGTCGTGTTAAGATGCAGCAACAGATTGGTTTGTCTTGATACGACTGATAAAGCGGCTCGAGTTTGGGCGTTTGGGCGGCTAAGCTTCAGGATGCTAACCCAGTTTGGCAGAGCAATTGGTCAGCTCAAGCTCCGCGGACCAGGGCAGGTATCCGACGCGTGGGTATGGACGCATGCCAGTAAATACCCTCGTGATTCTACGTACGAACAGAGGCAGAAGAGCTGAGAACCCAGAGGAATAGATGGATAGTATGTACATGTAGTGATTGTTTGAGCACCGTGATACAAGAAAAAAAGAACATGGTAGGGCAAGAGGAGCGCTTGTGGCATGCACAACAGAGATGCATGCAAGTTGGCAAACCATAGTGGGACCATGACCCGTGAAATCCGCCGTGCCATGCGGCCTTTGTGCACCGCGTTACAATTGTTACTTGGTTCAAAAAGAAGGGATGGACATAGACTACATCATCGCAGATGCCTTATTTCTATACACTGTGCTTATACTCTTTTTCAGTCCATCTGATGTCCCCTAGCGACTCCCCCTGCCTGTGATGCATCACTTTCAGAGAGAGAGAGAGAGAGAAGCAGTAAATTGCTCTCTTAGTCACCCTTACAGGACAATTGGGATGTAATTCGATTGAGTCCATGGATGGCAATAATTGCGGATTATTCAAGCGACATACATCTCCAAGTCGCAATTCCGGTTGCAGCTGCAATTATGGTTGTGTGCGTAAATAAAAGAAAAGAGAGAGAGAGAGAGTGGCGATAAAGAAAAGGTGCAGTACCGCAATGAGGCGTATGACTAGACCTACGATAGCGGCTCTCAAAACTTTCGTACAACGAAGTTGTCCTTTCTGCACACGGTGGCCCAAGCTCAATGAGCTCCTCTGGTCAAGCCCAATTACGACGGGCATTGTACGCCTTCCCGTTCTATTGCACAAACATCATCGGAGGGCGCTTCGGTGCTTTTTTTTTACTAGTACAGACTCTCGGGTCCTCGACTGAAAATACCTTATGCTAGATGGCATGGCATGGCATGGAGACTGCATGCGTCGCTCTGCTGCATCCTTTTCTTTTTTTTTTCTTCTTTTTTTTTTTTTTTTTTTTGGACATCACGCCAGAGCCTGCCACGTTAGATCCCACCCCCATCAGCATGGTTTTTGTGTTCTATTGTTTCTGAATATTTACTACCGCAGACTATGGCTCAACTGCAGAGCGATACAGAAGAGAGGAGATGCAGATTGAGGAATAGAGAAGGCGCGCGACAATCACGCAGGGTGCGATCATCCCTGCCTTACTTCCGCAGCGATTCAATCAGCCATTCGCATTCGCGCG